CCTGAGGATGATGAGGGTGGGGGTGGGAGACCTGGCAGCCAGAGCCCCCCATGACCTTAATGATAGAGGGCAGCCGCTGCCCCACGGGTCCCACCCGGTCGGCGGCCATTCATGTAACCACTGTGGGTCAGGATGTGGCCTCTGGTCCCCTGGGCGTCTCTCCCAGGGGGCAGCCCCTGTATCTGCCGCGGGCCATGAGCAGGTCCAGGGAAACGTGTATAAAGCCAATCAGAGCCTGCCGGCCAGGCTACGCATGGGAGGCCTGGAAGGGGGCAGCCAGGGCCCAAGCAGCGGCAAGCTCCCCCCAATATAGCAGGCTGCTGGGCCCCCTGCCAGGCTCTGTGCCAGCAGGCACAGGGAATGCTCTGGAGGCACAGCCGGGGGCAGGAGGCCAGTGAGGAACTCACAGCTGCCAGACCCAGCAGAAGGCTGGTTCTTGGAGTGGCTTTTCTTAAAAAAAAAAAAAAAAGAGTATGCCACCCCCTCATGGTCTGGGTACCCACAGTACACACTCCTCAAAGGCTAAGTACGGGGCACAGAACCATGGGCTTGAGACTGAGAGGGCTGTGACAGCAGAGAACGTCAGATCTGGGAGGGGCCTGAGAGGCCTGAGAACAGGGGATGTCAGAGCTAGAAGAGAGCCTGGAACAGGGAATGTCAGAACTGGGAGAGGGCCTAGAACAGGAAATGTCAAGCCTGAGAGGGACCTTAGAAGAGGGAATATGAGAGCTGGGAGGGAGCCTAGCACAGGAAATGTCAGGTCTGGAAGGTACCTTAGAACATGGGATGTCAGAGCTGAGAGGGACCTTATAACTGGGAATGTCAGAGCTGAGAGGGCCCTTAGAACTTGGAATGTCAGATCTGGGAGGGGCCCGAGAGGCCTGAGAATGGGGGATGTCAGAACTTGGAGAGGGCCGAGAACAGGGAATGTCATGAATGTCAGGGTTGGGAGGGACCTTAGAACAGGGGATGTCAGAGCTGGGAGGGGCTTAGAACAGGGGATGTCAGAGCTGGGAGGGAGCCTAGAACAAGGAATGTCAGAGCTAGGAGGGACCTTAGAACAGGGGATGTCAGAGTTGGGAGGCGGCCTAGAGCAGGGAACCTCAGAGTTGGGAGAGGTGTTAAAACAGGGAATGTCAGGGCTTGGAGGGAGCCTAGAACACAGAGTGTCAGGCCTTAGAACAGGGCATGTCAGAGCTAGGAGGGGCTTAGAACAGGGGATGTCAGAGCTCGGAGGGGCCTTGGGGATTATATCTCTCTAGTCGCCCTCATTTTGCAGATGAGAAAACTGAGGTCTAGGAAGGTCAGTGACCTGCCCAAGGTCACACAGGCAAGGAGCAGGTAAGCCAACCTGGGAGCCAGGACCATCTCCTTCCCCTCCTTGGCACTTTCTCCCAGGTCAGGATGGAAAAGAACCACTTCCATTACTATGGTGCTTTGTGACCGACAAAGCTGTCCTCACGACAACACAGTAAGGCAGGTAGTTTATGTATGACTGCTCCCATTTTAAGGATGAGGAAACTGAGGCTAAGAAAAGCTTAGAGGACCCTCATAAGGCAGAGCATGTGTACCCATGCTTTGATGGGTGTCAGAAACATGTGGGAAGTGGGGAACCAGCAGGGGACAGAGAAGGACTCAGTGGGCTTTCAACTCCTGACGTTTCAGCCCCTCCCAGCTCTCAATCCTCGATGCCCGGGAAAGCTCAGGACAGCTCTTCTTACCTGTCCTGCTCCCGTCTCTCTCAGGGCCTGTTTCATGGGGTGGAAGCTTAGGCTGCATCCTCGAGGTTTGGGGGGAGTCGGGACAGTCCCTTGACTAGCCAAACATCCCCCCTCACCCCCTGGGTCACTGAAGAGGGAAAGGCTCTTACCAGACATGTCAAAATGATTGTGCAAGGTTCTGGAGCTCGTGCTCTCGGCGGCCTTCTCAAATGCTCTCCCAAAAAAGCTACAAGACAAGGAGCAGCCCCGGCGGGGGGCTTCTTCAGACGTGGGTGCCACGGCCCACCCTCTCCTGCCCAGGAGTCTGCCAGGGCCTCCAGGGAGCTCAGGGCCCTTGGTATCCTCCGGGGTCAGCGGTAGCGGGGCCACAGTGCTTGTGCCTATCCTCCCCCCGACCCAGGACCAGAACGTAGGAAGCAGGCACACCTGAGCCCTGTCCCCCCTCCCCCTCCCAAAAAAGAGAGACCAGTGGCAAAGGAGACTCTGCTACTATGAGCCAGGTGACATCGGGTAAGCCCCTGCCCCTCCTGGGGACTTGGCTTGTGCATCTACAAAATGGGGCAACTGGCCCAAGATGATGTCTTCGGTTTCATCTCGCTTTAAACCCCAGGATGTGCTCGGTCTGAGGCAGTTTGCTCTTCCATGAGAGGAGCAGGCTTTATGAAGCCCTGCCCAGGTTCAGCGCCTGGCCTCAGGGCTCCTCCGGGAGCCTCGAAGGCCCTCCCAGGATCGTCTGCCCGGCCAGCCCCGAGAGGGAGGACAAAGGAGACACTCACTTCTTCTTGTCGGAGCTCTCCGTCTCAGGGGGGATCCCCACCACGATCACAGTGCCGTGCTCCACGCTCATCGGGGCCGCCATCACCAAAGGCAGCAGCTTACAGCGCTTGTTCTTTGTCTGTGAGGCACAGAGATCACGCGGTGATTGACCCCCGGCTGACAACAGCAAGGTTACCGTTCCCGATGACTCCCCCCATCCTGCTCCAGGAACCTCATCGGGCTCCCCCAGATCTGCCCCTCAGGCCTCACCCAGAGCTGTGGTTGCACCTAGCACCCTCCTGGGCTGCCTACCAGGCTCTGGACGGATCTGCACAAAAGGCAGAGCCATTAGAGAGCTGGGGAGCAGGGAGGGACCCCCAAGGCTGCCGTGTGCAACCCCTTCCTTTCACGGATGAGGAAGTAACAAAATGGCAGAGGCAGGATTTCTAAGCTGCCCTTTCCAAGCCGCCCTTCTTATTAGAGCATCAAGCCCAGAGAGGGCAGGGACTGGGAGTCATTTAAATGTGGCACAGGGTAGGCGCTAATGAGGTCCCCTAAAGGCATGAGTGTCATGACATCATCGGAAGCATCCACCAGTGGAAAAAGCTGCAGGTCCCACGTCCTGATTAGTCTTCAAGAAGAGAGGGAAGGCGTTCAGGGCATGGAGGGCACGGGGGTTAGCAGGAGCAGAGCGGCAGAGGTGGTTGGAGGCACATGGCAGGGGATGGCGTGGCGGTGGCGCTTAACGACCTTTCACCAGCAGGACTGGAGATCCCTGCCTCTCTTCGCAGGACCGCCTCCGACGCCGCTTTCTCTTCCTCCACCATCTCCCCAGCCAGAAGTGAGCTCACCCTCTTGTGGACTCATCCAGCACTCTGTCCCTCTTGCTCCAGCAAAGCTCACTCTGATGGCCATACCATACGCCTGGTCACTGATGTCGCAGAGGGAATCCCTGGTGAGGGACTTACGGCTCGGATGAGGTGAGCCTGAAGTCGCTGTCACCACGGCCAGCGCCCCCAACTCCCTTCTCCAGGGAAGCATCTGTAGCTGCACAAGTGCTGGACCGCTTGGATTTCTTGATGCTGGGCCAAATTTTCCAACATAATTTTCATGGTCCTCCTCTTAGGTCCACTTCCATCCAGTGTAGGAAGGACAGACCTGAATCCCTGCTCTGTGGGAGCAGGGGCAGGTCCTGGAACCTCTCGGGCCTCCCTTTCCTCAAGTACAGACAGTGCACTAAAGGAGTTTTGAGGGGCCTTCCACCCTAAATCCTTTGACCAGAAGCTATTAAGAAAGATGTGGGCTGAGTGGAGGCCCTTCCACGTTTTGTACAGTGTTTCTGCTAATGCAGAAGGTGGGATTAACTTCCTGTTGGTTTTTGCCCTTACAGGGTCTGGGAACAACACAAGGGAACAAGACCGAGTTCCCCGTGAAACACACCCAGATCTTCTTTCCTTTATGTCGATGATGAAATCAATGCCACCAACTCCTGTATTTGCATCCCCACGGGGAGGCTGTGGGCCATGCTCTCCTCTAACTACAATTCATTTATTTAACTTTTCTGGTTTCCTTGGTGAGAACACGACTTTGGAGGTGGTACCGCCATGTTTCCCTGCGTGGGTCAGTCTGTAAGTGATCACATTCTTTTAATCATGTTTCCTCTCACTGGTCAGTTTGGAGGATTCCACTCTTCTAACCATGTTCCTACTCATTGGTCAGTTTGGAGGGTTCCATTCTTCCGGCCATGTTTCCCCTCGTGGGTTAGCTGGGAGGGTTCCATTCTTCCGGCCACATTTCCCCACGTGGATCAGTTTGGAGGGTTCCATTCTTCCGGCCATGTTTCCCCTCGTGGGTCAGCTTGGAGGGTTCCATTCTTCCGGCCAACTTTCCCCTCGTGGGTCAGCTTGGAGGGTTCCACTCTTCCAGCCACGTTTCCCTGCGTGGGTCAGCTTGGAGGGTTCCATTCTTCTGGCCACGTTTCCCTGCGTGGGTCAGTCTGTAAGTGATTATATTCTTCTAGCTGTTTCCTCTCATTGGTTAGTGGAAAAAGGCTACATCAAGTGCATCAACAGTTATGTTAAGGACAACACACGGTCTAAGAGATGGGATCCTTACGGCCTCTGCCTGATCATCACCACATAGACACCGTCCCCACAGAAGGATGACGTAAAGAGCCAATGGACATTGCATATCTCTGTCGGCATCATAGGTTGGTAAAATTCATTTGGTGGCCAAGTCTTTGATTAATGTCTGAATCTCACAGCATCTCAGAGATCACTGAGGCCAAACTATACCTGAGGAGGCTGGTCCCCAGACAGAGAGGGACTCACCAGGCCAGTGCCAAGGCCTACCCAGCTGGGTAGGGCCTGGGTGGGGGGCAGGCTCCGAAACATGTGGGGAAGCTTCCAAGGAGGGCTTTTGAGGAAGTTAAACCCAGACTCCATCCTCGGAGGCTAATCAGGGGCAATGATGTGGTCAGGTTGTAACTAGAAAAACATGGTGCACGTCCTGGAATGAGCTCCACCGTCTGGCAGGTGGCTGGGATCTCTTCCACACTCTCACATGGGGCTGGACTGTGCTTCTCCTCCCAAGGCATCCAGCTGGCCACGTCTCTGAGCCACTTAACCACCACTACCAATTCTTGGTTAATTTTTCCATTTAACATTTTAAAGGGGAAAAAAACCCCTTCACTTGTATCTAGAGAGCACCTTTAAATTTTTTTTCTGTCTCTCTTCTAAAAAAATGCTCTCTAAGTTCTAACAAAAATCCCCAAATGCCTCAAGCCGAGGGGTCCATCCTGAAGGCCTCTGTTTGGCTTCCCACGCACGAGCTCACCTTTGATGGGATCTTAATTTAGCCCTGGCGAGCTGCTTGTTTGTTGAAATTCTTCTGGAGGGCCTGCTCTCCTCGGCGGGGAGCGTGGACGGACCACCGGCTGTCTCGAGCTTTTGTTCTCCGCGGAATCTCATTTCCTCACCTCCTACCCACATTCTTCTTGTTGGTGGAGGTTCTCCTGGCCTCTGGCGATTGTGTCTCAGTTGTTCTGCTGAGGTTTGGGGACATCTTGTGATTTCTCTGCTCTGTCATCTTCCTGACAGCATGACCTCGGCCTTCGGAAATGGAATAGGAGCAGCGTGTGCACACGCCGTCCATTCTGTGCAAGCCCGTCAATGGGAGCCATGAGACCGTGGCAGGCCCAACCCTTACCGCTGCCCTCATTTACAAACACGTTCAGAGCAGCTTCTGGATATGGGTGGCTTGGCTATAAAACCCACTGCTCAGACACCTGCTAGTTGGATGACCCTGGGCAAGTCACTTCACCTGCCTGCTTCAGTTTCCTTATCTGTAAAATAAGGATACAAATAGCGCCCACCTCCCAGGGTTGTTGAGGGGATGAAATAACATTTGTAAAAGGGCTTAGCACAGTGCCCAGCACAGAGAAAGTGCTTGGAAACGTGAGATACCTTGCCCCCCAGTCACCAAGGCTCTCCACCTCGGTCAGGGTCAGACTGTACTCCTCTCTTCCCCAGGCCACACATCCAATCAACGGCCACGTCTCCCTGTTAACTCTCTTACACTATCTCCCCCACGCGCCCCTTTCTCTCCACTCACAATGCGCCCCCTCTAATTCACTTTACAACTGACCGATCGGTCCCCTGGCCTCCAGTCTCTCCTTGCTTGGATCCATCCTCCCCTCCGCTGCCTGAGGCACATTCTTACGGTTCAAGCTGGCCATGTTTCTTCCTGCTCCCTCTTACAGTCAGGATCAAACATGAAGGCCACTAATGGACGTTTAAAACTGCTCCAAACACTCCCCTCCCCTCCACATACTCTGTGACCCAGTGACACTGGCCTCCTTGGAGTTCCTCAGACACAAGGAGCCATCTCCCACCTCCAGGCGTTTTCCTGGGCCGTGTGCCTTCACCTTCTTCCCCTTCACCTCTGCTCCTGGCTTCCTTCAAGCCTCAGCTCCCATCCTGCCTTCTGCAGGAGGTCCTTCCTGGTGCCCCCAGCCATTCCCCCACTTTACAATGACTGCGTGGGCACCTCATTATTTGCCATCCTGTTAGACAGGTGGGGCCAGCCTGGCCTTTCTTTGGGGCCCAGTGCCTGCCTGGTCCTGGCTCACCTCGCCACCAGCACTTACCGAACAAATGAAGGACTGCAGCAGATATTTGCTGAGCAGGCCCAGAGATGCCGGCTTGGAGAACAGCTTGACATCCGGCGTGCCCTGAGGAGGGAGAAGAGAGGAGTTGTGAGGGGGCCTGGAGCTAGAAACATAAGTGAGCGAACGTCCCCAGCCAGGAGAGGAGAGGAAAGAGGCTGAAGTACCTCCATGAGGTAGCAGTAGAGGAAAGGCCCCTGGGAGATGACGAGGTTGGTGCAGATGCAGCTGGCCACAGTCTGGTGGATGGCCCGAAGCTGCTTCTTGGCCAGCTCCAGGCCCTGGTAGAGCTGCGCCAGGTTACTCCTGCAAGGCAGAGCAAACAGACAGACGTGGGCTCACCCTGTCCCTCCATCAGGATTGCAACCCTTCTCCAATGAGCTGCTTTGGCCACACAAAAGTCCTCCCCCAGCAGCCAGGCTGCTGCCAGCCACGAGTGGCCAAGCCTCCCCAGGTTGCCACCAACCTTGTGAGACCAAGTCTCCCCAGGCCAGGCCAGGCTGGTGCTCAGATGCCCCACAGTATGGTCAGTCTTGGGGCCTCCACCTGAAGTCCCTCCCGAGGGGGAGCCCTGCCAGAATTTGTGCTGGGATGGAGGTACAGCCTGGCCTCTGGATTGGGGAGTAGGGGGTGCTGTCTGTCTTTGCTCTCTTTTTTTGTTTTGTTGTTGTTGGTGAGGCAATTGGGGTTAAGTGGCTCGTCCAGAGTCACACAGCTAGAAAGTGTCAAGTGTCTGAGGCTGGATTTGAACTCAGGTCCTCCTGACTTCAAGGCTGGAGCTTTATCCACTGTACCATCTAACTGCCCTGCCATCTGTCTTCTCAATGTGCTGGAAATCACAAAGACCTGACTCCAGCTAACCACGAGGACCCTGCCTCCTCTGGGCCAACATTTCCTTATCCGACATCGTGAGGATCAAATAACAAAATGCCGGTCAAGGCCTCTGCAGACCCCAAGCGCTAAGTCAGCGTGAGCAATGGGTCCCAGCCCCTCCAGGCCTCGGCAGATTCTCCGCGTGAGCTGCTGTGAAATGCATCTTTGGGGCCATTCTCTGTGCACGCAGCGAGGCTAAGGCCTGCCTCCAACCCCTCATGGTCTGACCCTGGTCAAGTCCCTAAGCCACTGCCTGCCTCAGTTTCCTCACCTGTAAAATGGGGATGACACCAGTACCTACATCCCAAGGCCATTGTGAGGATAATATCGGCTAATGTTTATAAAGCGCTCAGCAAACCTGATGGTGTTACAGAAACGCTCGCTATTGTTACTATGATTATTAGGCTGGTCCCGAGAGGCCACATGGCCCATTGCTCAAGGCCTAAGGGAGCCAGTGTGCTAGGGTGGAAAGAACCATGTCCCAGACCCAGAGGTCCAGGGTTCCATCACTCACTAGCTGGGTGACCCTGGAACGGTCTTGTGCCTTCCTGGGCTCGTGTCCTCCTCCCTCTTCTTTTTTTTTGGCTAGGCAATGGGGTTAAGTGACTTGCCCAGGGTCACACAGTTAGTAAGTGTCAAGTGTCTGAGGCCGGATTTGAACTCGGGTCCTCCTAAATCCAGGGCCGGTGCTCTACCCACTGTGCCACCTAGCTCCCCCTTGGCTCCAAATCTTAAGAAGGACCTTGGGCCTTTGAGAGTTGTCCACTTAAGACAGAAAGGGTAGAGACTTTGCACCTTCATTTCTCTATCTCCATCCTCTCCTCCCTGCCCAGAGAGCCATCCCTCAGTAATGAAGAAAACAGGGAGAAAGAGTGACTCGCCAGCCCAGCCTCCTCCTCCCACTTCCTGCCTTCCTCCGCCATCCCCTCGCCCACCCCTGTGCCATCTGCCTCTGTGCTTTCTGCTGTCTGCCCCCACACCCTCTGTGCCTTATTAAAGGGTGACTGCCGCCTCATTTCCCGCTGCCAGTTGTGATCTTTCCTGGTGCACACCCAAAGAACCAGGTGTGCCTGCCCCATTTCATAAATTAATCAGCGTTCGCTTGTGGACACAGCACTGGATTGGGAGGCGGGGAGCCAGAGTCCAAGTGCTGCCTCGGTGACCACGGCCACCCCCTTCATCTCTCTCAGCCTCAGTTTTGGTTGGACCGATGGCCTCTGACGATGCTGGGGCCTCCCCGTGCTGCCCCACTGTGGATGCGGCAACAACTGATCACAGAGAATTCGGGTCTGTGCCCACGATGGTGAGAGGAAGGCGAGGAGAAAGGAGAGGAGGGGCCCCTTGGCCCAGCACCTGGAGAGACTGTCCAAGGCCCTGATGAAGTTATCCGTCCCGGAGGCGTCCTTCTCGATGTTCTCCAGCAAGGACGTAGTTGCGAAGACCACGTCGCTGGCCAGGAACTTGTTTTTGAACCCAAAGTGGATGCTGAAAGTCTGCACCCGCATGTCCTTCATCCTGTAAGAGAGAAGGAAAAGAGGCTGAGTCCTTTGGGATCAAGCTGGAGGAAACAGGACATCCGATAGGGGGATGCCTCGGCTCCAGAGCGGGCCCCCTGCTGCCCATCAGCCGGGGAATGTGGGACGGGTCATGGCGTCTAAATGTGCAGGGGGCCAGAACTGAGCTGTAAGAAATGGCGGGAGGGCTCTGAGAAGCCCAAGGCTTGTAGGGACTGATGCAGAGGGAACTGAGCAGAACCAGAAGGACCACGTATACAGTGACAACAACCCCGTAAAGGTAAACACTCTGAAAGACTCCGGAACCTTGAGCAGTGACCGACCACCCAGGATCCCAGAGGCTAGTGATAAAGCATGTTACCCACCTCCTGACAGGGGAACCGGCTTGGGGGCACACTGAGAAATGCAGGGTTTGGGGAAATGACCAGGGCAGCAATTTGTTTTGCTTGACTCTACATTATTAGTTAGAAGGCCTTTATTTTTCTTTGTTTTCCAGTTGAGGTGAGAGAGGTTCTCTGTTCTAAGGCCTCTTCAGCTTTGACAGGCTCCCAGCTCCAATATCTCCTGTTCTAAGGTCCCTCCCAGCCCTGACACCCTCTGTTCTAAGGCCCCTCCCAGCCCTGACATCCCCTGTTCTAAGCGCCACCACCCCCCCAGTTCTGACATTCCCTATTCTAAGGCCCCTCCTAGTTCTGACATCTCCTGTTCTAAGGCCCCTCCCAGCCCTGACATCCCCTGTTCTAAGCACCAGCCCCCCCCCAGTTCTGACATCCCCTGTTCTAAGGCCCCTCCTAGTTCTGACACCTCCTGTTCTAAGGCCCCTCCCAGCCCTGACATTCCCTGTTCTAGGGCCCCTCCCAGCTCTTGACATTCCCTATTCTAAGGCCCCTCCTAGTTCTGACATCTCCTGTTCTAAGGACCCTCTGGCTCTGACATTCTATGATCTTAATTCTCCCAGCTCTGACATTCCAGGTTTTAGCTCTTAAAGGGTAGACCAGCATGAGAGCAGAGCTGGGCATGTCACTTCCTAAGGATCCCCAGAGGTAACAAAGACACACTCAGTGAAAGTATGAATCATCTGATGAAGCAGCTGGGGAGAGTATGTGGTACAATTCAGAGAGATTCCCACAAAGAAGGAGAAAATGAAATTACTCTGGCCTTGAAATTCTCTGGTCCTGGAAAATCCACTTCCCTGCCAGAGGTCTGAGGTCACCGACCTACCACGAGGAGGCAGCTGGGGTGGGGGGGCTGGTGGGCCTGCCTGGGGTCACACAACCAACTGCATCCAAGGCAACCTAGAACCCAAGCCTACTCTAGCCACTAGAATGGTAGAACCGGAGGGAACCTCAGAAAAGAACAGACACACAGAAAGTACCATGGAAATGTCAGCTCTTGGATTCCATCAATGCCTTCACTGGAGAGAGGAGGGGCTGGGATACATCAAACTCAAACAGAAGCCACCTCTGCAGGCCGCATGTTGTCTTAGAAAACCGAGTATTAACACTATCATCTATGTTGTACTGGACATTCATTTCCTTATTCCACTTCAATCTGGTTCCACCAGGCTGGGAGTCTGGCCGGCCACTGGCAGCCTACAGTTGGCCATGTCGGATCTCCAGGAGGGGAGGGATGTGTCCAAGTGACCCCCCCTGAAGGTGGAAGCTACAGAGGCAGCTTTAGGCTTGATCCAAGGGAAATATTCTTTCCCACCAGAGCTGCCCTGGAGTGCATGGGCTACCCGAGAAGCAGTGAGTTCCCCGTCACTAGAGGTCTTTGAACAGAGGCTAGTGTGGTGGGCCATAGGCTGGACTACATGGCCACTAGGGGCCCTTCTGACTCTGTAATCTCACACTTGAGGGATTCTGGGAGCCAGGAACAGAGACCAGGTCTCCAAAGCTTCCATCCGGGCAGAGGGCCCTTCTGTCTACATCACGCCACCCCCATCTTTGGAACTTAAAATCCACATCTGTTCAAAGGGTGGCCTAAAAACCAGGACAGGCTCCAGGAAACAGTCTCTCCTAAATGTAAACAGGCTCCTGTTTGCTTACGGCAGGAACAGACACAATCATTTCACCAAACAATTACATGGAGCCTCAGAAGCCTAAATTTAGATTCAAAATTGTTTTCCAAGCCAGAAGTTCCTTAAAGGCCCCATCTGTCTTTGCCACAGGGGAAGGAAGATCTTTGGGCGCACACCTGGAAGCTGGAGCTGGAGGACGTGCTTTGCTCGGGCAATGACCAGCTTCCAAGGCGCCACCCAAGAGGAGGAGACGGGGCCTTCCTGGGTCTTGTGTCCTTGGCTAAAAATACCACCCTCCTTGTGGGAGAGGTGGGGGACTACAGGTGCAGAATGTGGCATACACCGCCAGCTGGTGGTCATCTTAGTGTCTGCCTGACTTCTCCCTCCGAGATCCTCATCCAGGTTGTTCCTGTTAGCGGCAGGAGGGTCCCCAGGCTCTGTCCTGTACCCTCTCCTTTCTCTACACTATATCACTTGGTGATCACATTGGCTCCCACAGATTCAGGTATTAGCAGGGGATTCTCAGATAACACTTATCCAACCCTAACTCACAGACCTCCTGTCTCGCTTTTCCAACTGCCTGTCAGATCTCTTGCCTGTCAATGTACTACCGATCCGCCCCCGACATGGCGCAGGCCCCCATGCCCTCACGCCTGGACTATTGCAACAGCTGCTGGGGGTGAGGGGTCTGCCTGCCTCCAGTCTCTCCCCACTCTGGACCATCATCCATCAGCTACTAAAGGGATTTTCCTAAAACCAAAGTGAGACCACGCCACCCCTACTCCATAAACTATGTGGCTCCCTATGGCCTGCTGGATGCTTGGCGTTCAAAGCCCTCCATGGCCCAGTCTCCTCCTCCTTTCCAGTGTTCTCACACTTCCCTCCCTGACACACGGTCCCCCATCTAGTGACGCTGACCTCCTAGGAGGAGGGACAGAATAAAGCTCTCATTGGGCTGCACTTGCCAAGCACAAGGCCCTCCACCCCGGGCTCCGGGCCTTCTTTGGCTGCCCCCAGGCCTGGACCATTGACCTCCCTGGCTTCATTCCAGTCCCGGCTCTGATCCCACCATCTGCAGGATGCCTGTTCTGAAGCCTGGTGATGCTGGGGCCTCCCTCTGACTGGTTTGCCCATCCCCCACTAGACTGGGAGCTCCCTGAGGGCAGGGCCTGCCTGTCTTTTGCCCACTTGAACCTCCAGTGCCTGGCCCATAGAAAGTGCCTAGTAAACCTCTGATGACCAGGCGGCATGGCCCACCTCAGATGCTGACCAGCCATGTGACTCTGAGCATGTCACTGCACCCTCCACCTGCCTCAGTTTCCTCATCTGAAAAGTGGGTCAGTCAGACTTCACAGCCTCGAAGGTCCCTTCCAGCTCCAAACCAGGAACCCTGTGAACTTTCTTTTTGTTACCAGGGAGGGGTCAGTGGGGAAATTACTGTGACGTAAGAACAAACAGCATCGATTAAACAGTTTTCTTGCCATCGGTCCAAGCTTTTTAGACAGGAAGGGAGGGCAGGAGACAACCCTTCTGATGAAAGAAGCCCCGGCCCAGGGGAGCCACGCTGTGCCCAATAGTCACCCACACAAGCCGCTCTTACCCAAATTTGTTTGCAGATTCTTCAAGGATTTCCTGCAGATTCTCTTTCAAGGAGACGTCCATGGCCTGAAACTTCTGCTTAACCTGCTTTAGCGGGAGCCTGCAAAGACATCGAGAATTGGTGACATCCGTGACCGCGGCTGAAAGGAAGAGCCTTCGCCCTATAACGGGACGCCAGGAACCCCGCGAGGACAATGATGGAGGGATGGACAGACGGACGGAGGTCTGCCGGGCTTCATCATCTCTAAGGGGGACAGGGGGCACCGCAGAGAGAGGGCCACACTTGAGGTCAGGAAAACCCAGGTTCGAATCCTGCGGTCCTCAGTCTCCTCGGCTGGGTCCCCACCCATGTCCTGCCCCCGACGCAGGGGCGTCCCCCAAGGATCTGTCCTTGCCCCCCTTCTCTTCTCCCTCCCACAGGGACCTCACCAGCTCCCACAGGCTCAGTTATCATCTCCATCCCAAGGACCCTCAGTCCTGAATTCCCCATCACCAAATGCCTACTGGACACTTCCGCCTCCACGCCCACAGGCATCTCAGACTCAACATTTCTAAACTCAACATGGCTGTTCATTAGCCTAGCCCCCAAGCCCCTCCTCTCTTCCCCATTTGACTATTTCTGTCGACTCAGACATGCAGCCCAGAAGCCCCCATCCCAGCGACCGCTTCTGACGGCCCCCGCGGCCCTCATCACCTCTTGCCTGGACCACTGCATGCATTGGCTCTGAATGGGCCACCCCTCTGCAGTCCGTCCTCCACACGTGACAGTGAAGATCCCGCCCCTGCTCAACATTCAGCACTGGCTCCCCATTGCCTCCAGGATCAAACAAAACCTCCCGTTTGGCACTGAAAGCCCTCACAGACGGCTCCAATCTACCTTTCCAGGCCCACTGCCCACTTCTTTCATGGGCTCTAGAACACAGCCAAACTGGCCTTCTGGCTTCTGTGTGCCTAATGCTCCATGTTCCATCACTGGGCCTTTGCATAGGCAGTCCCAATGCCTGGAATGCCCTCTGTCTTTCACTCCATCTTGAAGAATCCCCGAATTCCTTCAAGGCTCTGCATGCATCCCCCCCTTTCCTCCATGAGGCCTTTCTTAGACCCCCAGCTGTTAGTGCCTCCCCGACCGTGTACTGGGAGGTCTGGGCATGTCTTGGCTCCCCCGGAACAGAAGCCCTGAAGGGCAAGATCGCTTCATTCCTACAGTGCCCCCAGGGAAGGGGCTGAATTAATGCTCCTCCACCGTTTCTTCCCACGCATCCTGGCCAATGACCACAGACAAGTCACAGCCTCTGAGTGGCCCAGGTGGCCCAGTCTCTGAGTAATAAACAGATTACTGGTCTGCTGGGGTGGGGGGGGGCTTTCCACACTGGGAGGAGCCCCATATTGATCAAATCTGAGACCCAGACCAAAAAGGCAGCCCCAAGCCTCCATAAGAAGCCATTCCTACACACGCCTGCTCTGAGCGCGGAGAGGGACTTGTCTGCCACATATATGTCAGAAAGGCCTGACACCAAAAGTAACAGAGCACCCTCCTTCCTTAGCGAGGCAGGGGCTACGGGTGAGAAACGCCGCATGCACACCCAGCCCCGCGCATGCAGCGGTTAGTTTGGAGGAAATGCTTTTGTTGGTTTTTCTTTTTCTTTAAAAATCTCTCTCTCTCCCTTTCTGTGTCTCTCTTCCCTCCCTCCTTCTCTCCGTCTGTCCTGTCTCTCCTCTCTCCCTCCATCCCTCTCTTCCTCCCTCCTCCTCTCTACCTCTGTCCTCATCTTTTTCTTCATCTCTCTCTTCCCTCCCTCCTTCCCTCTCCCCTTCTGTCTCCTTCCTCCCTCTTTACCTTCCTCTCTCTCTTCCCTCCATCACTCCCTCCCTCTCCTGTCTCTCTTTCTCTCTTCCTGCCCTTGTCTGTCTGTCTGTCTCTCATCAGCACAGAACCTCAGACTCTGCTCTGTGCCTGACACTGCCACCTCTCCCCTCCTTAGGCAGCCTGGGACCCCTCCCTCTCCCTCCTTAGCGCTCACCCACCACATGGGGTTCAGACTTGGCGGGGACACCCCATGGGCGTTTGCCCCTCTGCAGCTCAGATCCCACAGACCCAAGCCATCCACTTGCCTCTGTCTCCCCAGTAGCGGGAGCTAGGGGTCATCTGCCACCATGCCAAGCTCTTCCTTTCATAATCTCTGTAGCTGGGGGGGCTCTCTGGGGAAGGGACGGGGAGGACTGTATTCACTGTGATATGAAACCAGAAACTGCCCATGAAGTCATTACCCCAGAGCTCAAATGTTGGGGGTGGGAGCGCATGGTGCAGTGCTGGTTCTGGTCTCAGCCTTGGGAGGACCCAGCCTGAACTCAGCTGTGTGACCACGGGCCAGGCCCTGCATCTGTCTGAGCCCCAGCCTCCCTCTGTAAAGTGAGGCTGATCACCGCACCCCTCATCTCACGGCAGGGCCGAGATCATCATTATCAGCCCCGCTGTAACTTTGCAGCCAACCTACCCCATGTCGGCCAGAAGCTCCTGAAGCCGCTTCTGGCCCTGGACGGACCAAAGCCTGAGCCTAGCTGACGTGTAGCACGTGTTACAGAGGCTGTCATAGAGAGACCAGTGCTGGTACAGGGCCAGGCGCAGGCTAGAACACCACGGGCATTAAGGACAACGTCAGGCCACGTCCAGCGGTCTTGGGGTCCCCCTCCCAACAGGGTCAGCTGTGGCTGGGAGCCGCTGCCTGGGGATGCCCTCTGCTCTCACCCAGCAGTGGGGCTGCGTCGACTTCCCCTCTCCCACCCCTTCAGGCCCCAGACACTCCCCCCCTCCTCAACCCTCCTCCAGAGCTCCTTCCTGACAAGGGGCCCACCCCATACTGTGCAGGACCCCAGGCTGCCCAGCACAGCTCTGGCTTCCGGTTCTTATGGCCTGAGTCACCTTGGACAAGTCACATAAGCCCGTGAGCCCCGGGTCTGTACTCTAGAAAATGAAGGTCAGTGAGGCCCTTTGCTGCCCGAGTGAGGATCCTAAGGCTCACGTGTCCCATGTCTCCCTCAGTGCCGAGCTCGGGGCTCTGTACAGGGACAGAGTTCGTGGGAGGGCTTTGGGAGGAGGCAAGGAGGGAATGGGTGGGGGCAGATTCCCTGAATCCCCAGCTCCCAGGGCACAAGGAAGGTGGATGGGTGGGAGCAGCTCAGCCCCGCTCGCCCCATCCCCCCTACAAGGATACTCGTATTCAAAGGCTATGCGCATGCAGTCGATAGAGAGGGAGTTCTCATCATCTTCATTACGGTGGTTATGGCGGGACACATGACGCTGCAGAATCCCAATATCGGTCACGTACTTCATTCTGAAACAAAAACGGCACAGGCCATCGGGGATCTCCTCTTCTCACAATGGCAGCTGCCCATGCCTGCGTACAGCTCATGCCTTCTCCTGGTCCTTCCCACCAGGCTCAGACATCCCAGGAGGTGTCGCTGCCCCGCCTCCAGGCAGGCACCATCACTGTGGGGCAGAGGAGAGAGAATGGGCACGGGCAGGGGCACAGTGCTCAAGAGAAGGCCCGGCTGCTCCCCTCCCGGAGTCAGTCCTCAGGAGGACTTTGTGTGTCCTTCATGCTCTTGGCACAGGGGCTGACAGCTGGGGCCCAGACGCCGAGATCCCGGGCCCAACTTGGCCATGAACCACCTGAGTGACTGCAGGAAAAGCAGAAACCCACATCGACATCCCTCGTCTGGAGAAGGAAGGGACTGGAGGAGGCAGAGGGTGGAGAGGAATACTCCAGACAGGGGCTCTGCCATGTAGAGCAGTCGTGTCAGAAGACATGATCTCAGAGGAAATCCTTGTGTGCGAGGCTGGGAAGGGCCTTAGAACAGAGGATGTTAGGGGGTGGAAGGGGCCTTAGAAGAGGGGATGTCAGAGCTGGGAGGGCCTTTAGAACAGGGGATGTCAGAGTTGGGAAGGGGCTTAGAACAGAGGATGTCAGGGGCCGGGAGGGGCCTTAGAACAGAGGATGTCAGGGCTGGGAGGGCCTTTAGAACAGGGGATGTCAGGGCTAGGAAGGGCTTCAGAACAGGGAAGGTCAGAGCTAGGAGGGGCCTTAGAACAGGGGATGTCAGAACTGGGAGGGGGCTTAGAACAGAGGATGTCAGGGGCCGGGAGGGGCCTTAGAACAGAGGATGTCAGGGCTGGGAGGGCCTTTAGAACAGGGGATGTCAGGGCTAGGAAGGGCTTTAGAACAGAGAAGGTCAGAGCTAGGAAGGGCCTTAGAACAGGGGATGTCAGAGCTGGGAGGGGGCTTAGAACAGGGGATGTCAGAGCTGGGAGGGCCTTTAGAACAGGGGATGTCAGGGCTAGGAAGGGCTTTAGAACAGGGAAGGTCAGAGCTAGGAGGGGCCTTAAAACAGGGGATGTCAGAGCTGGGAGGGGGCTTAGAACAGGGGATGTCA